GGTTCTCATGGGGGACTTTAATCACCCTGACCTCTGTTGGGAGACCAATATGGCAGTACACAGGCAATCCAGGAAGTTTTTGGAGAATGTTGGGGATAACTTCTTGGCACAAGGGCTGAAGGATCCGACCAGGGGCCGTGCGCAACTTGCCCTTCTGCTAACAAACAGGGAAGAACTAATAGGGGAAGTAGAGGTGGGTGACAACCTGGGAAGCAGTGATCATGAAATGGTAGATTTCAGGATCCTGACCAAAGGAAGAAAAGAGAGTACTAAAATACACATCTTGGACTTCAGAAAAGCAGATTTTGACTCCCTCAGAGACCTGATGGGCAGAATTCCCTGGGATGCTAACATGAAGGGGAAAGGAGTCCAGGACAGCTTGCAGTATTTTAAAGAAGCCTTATTGAAGGCACAGAGAGAAACCATCCCGATGCATAGCAAGAGAGGCAAACGTGGTAAGAGACCGGATTGGCTTACAGGTGAAATCCTTGGAGAACGTAAGCACAAAAAGGAAGCTTACAAAAAGTGGAAAATTGGACAAATGACCAGGGAGGGGTTTAAATGTATAGCTCGAGAGTGCCGGGGGGGATTATCAGGTAGGCGAAAGTGCAACTGGAATTGCGACTGGCAAAGGATAACAAGAAAACATGCCTGTAGAAACCTAACAAGAAGAAGGTGATGAGGGTGTGGGGCCCCTACTGGATGAAGGAGGTAACCTAGTGACAGATGATGTGGGGAAAGCTGAAGTACTCAATGCTTTCTTTGCCTCTGTATTCACGGACAAGGTCGGCTCCCGGACTAATGCGCTAAGTGACGCAAGATGGGATGAAGATGGACAGCTCTTGGTGGATAAAGAACAGGTTAGGAACTATTTAAAAAAGCTAAACGTGCACAAATTCATGGGTCCGGACTTAATGCATCCAAGGGTACTGAGGCAGTTGGCAAATGTCATTGAGGAGCCTTTGGCCATTATCTTTGAAAAGTCGTGGAAATCGGGAGAGATCCTGGATGACTGGAAAAAGGCAAATGTAGTACCAATCTTCAAAAAAGGGAAGGACAATCCAGGGAACTAGAGGCCAGTCAGTCTTACCTCGGTTCCTGGAAAAATCATGGAAGGGATCCTTAAGGAATCCATTTTGAGGCACTTGAAGAGAGGAAAGTGATCAGGAATAGTCAGCATGTATTCACAAAGGGCAAGTCATGCCTTACCAATCTGATCAGCTTCTATGAGGAGGTAACTGGCTCTGTGGACATGGGAAAGTCAGTCGATATGATATACCTTGACTTTAGCAAGGCTTTTGATACAGTCTCCCACAATATTCTTGCCAGCAAGTTAAGGGAATGTGGATTGGATAAATGGACGGTAAGGTGGATAGAAAGCTGGCTAAAAGGCCAGGCCCAGCAGATAGGGATCAACGGCTCAATGTCAGGATGGCGGTCATTTTCTAGTGGAGTGCCCCAAGGTTAGGTTCTAGGACCAGTTTTGTTCAAGATCTTTATTAATGACCTGGATGAGGGGATGGATTGCACCCTCAGCAAGTTTGCAGATGACACTAAGCTGGGGGAGAGGTGGATATGTTGGAGGGCAGAGACAGGGTCCAGAGTGACTTAGACATATTGGAGGATTGGGCCATAAGAAATCTGATGAAGTTCAACAAGGACAAGTGCAGAGTCCTACACTTGGGACGGAAGAATCCCAAGCATTGCTACAGGCTGGGGACCAACCAGCTAAGTAGCAATTCTGCAGAAAGGGACCTGGGGGTTACAGTGGATGAGAAGCTGGATAGGAGTCAACAGTGTGCCCTTGTAGCCAAGAAGGCTAATGGCATATTAGGGTGCATTAAGAGGAGCATTGCCAGCAGATCCAGAGATGTGATTATTCCCCTTTATTCGGTTCTGGTGAGCCCAGTTCTGGGCTCCCCACTACAAAAAGGATGTGGACGCATTGGAGAGGGTCCAGCGGAGGGCAACCAAAATGATTAGGGGGCTGGAGCATATGACCTATGAGGAGAGGCTGAGGGACTTGGGTCTGTTTAGTCTGCAGAAGCGAAGAGTGAGGGGGGATTTGATAGCAGCCTTCAACTTCCTGAAGAGAGATTCCAAAAAGGATGGAGAGAGGCTGTTCTCAGTAGTGACAGATGGCAGAACAAGGAGAAATGGTCTCAAGTTGTGGTGGGAGAGGTCCAGGTTGGATATCAGGAAAAACTATTTCACTAGGAGAGTGGTGGAGCACTGGAATGGGTTACCTAGGGAAGTAATGGAGTCTCCATCCCTAGAGGTGTTTAAATCTCGGCTTCACAAAGCCCTGGCTGGGGTGGTTTAGTTGGGATTGGTCCTGCCTAGAGCAGGGGGCTGGAGTTGATGACCTCCTGAGGTCTCTTCCAGCCCTGTGATTCTATGATTTCAGAAGATCTTTCTACTAATTTAACACTGGCAGGACTTTCTGGGGAAACATGCAATGACATCTGCAAATGATTCCTGCTTGGCTGATATACAGACTTCAATTTCTTTGCATGTATTAAAGATGAAATCTGCTCAGCTGCATTACATATATGCAGGAGGCCATATTTACTAGAAGTTCGAGAAAAGTCCTCACCAACGGCCCTGGGGTGAGCATGTAGTGAGTGGGCACATCTAATATGGCTTGAAATCTTTCTTGTGAAGAGTAAAATGTCTAGAAATGTCTGCAATTTTTTCTGCACTTCTGCCACAAGCATTTCTAACATTTCTTACTGCTTCAGCAAATGAGGAAGAAGAGACTGTGGCTGTTATCAAATTCTCCACTGTTTGGAGTTATTCTTTCTGTATTCTTCCCAGTATACTAGTTTGTGCCAGCTGTACCCCTTGTGCAACTTTACAAGTTTTTATAGTGAAGGAAGATCTAACTCTAGAGAGGATAAGGAGGGGGTAGTTTCCTTATCAGTTGCATCCTGCCAGGGGCCCACTATAGTCAAGATTGGGTACTGTAGGTATAAACGACTGGGAATCACAGAGGTGAATATGAAGAGGAATGCTCTCCCTGAGATTCCCTGGGTCTATGCCTTTAAACAACTGTTCCTTGCTTCCTTATCTGACCAATCAGGGTTATATACATGGACACGAAGAGACTAGATACCTCCCTACTATGATCAGAAAGGGAAGAAGAAGGGGGGGGGGGAGAATTTTACCTATAATGGTTGGGCTATTCTATTTACAGAATTATAGAAATGTATGCCTGGAAGGGATCTCAAAAGGTCATGTAGTCCACTTCCTGCATCAATGCAGGAAATCCTAATCTCCTTTTAAATCTGGCTACTACTGAAGCTGAAAAGGTGACTAGTACATTAATAGTGCTGACTGCGCTGTATGGTACTGGTACTTTCACAGCTGAGGAGAATAATGGTGATTTAGGTTGCACAATCAAAGTCAGCCGGCACCAAACAGAAATTTGATGCCAAGTAAATCAGAGCTATGAGCATCCATATTGTAAGGGTGGGAACTGGTGCCCTAGAGACAGTACCACACATGTTCAGAAACCACATTTTGCCAGGGATCAGAGGAGCTCAATTTGGGCTAAGATCGACCCTTTGGCTGAGCAACCTCAAGAGAGCAATGTCCTGTTTTACCACATGCTGGGAAAGTTAACCTAGATCTCTGCTTTCTGTGAGTATGATGTTCCTTCCCATACCTTTCAGGTGACTGGCTGTCAATCTCAGTATATGAAAGGTTTCTTTGAACAGTGAGCCCAAGACCTAAGAATTGAGCTGTAGCCCACAGAAACAACAACAGAGGAAGCTATTTCAAGTGTTGTAGGTCCCTTCTCTGGTTCTGTGGAGGCTCTCACTGAGTGCTCTGGGAGAAAAGTTTAAGACCTGCCTCTCTCACCACCTGCATCATCTTGGAGAAAAAGCAACAAACTGAACACCTATCTGGGACAGGCCCTATTCTGGAATGAAAATGGATCCCTTCACTAAACATAACTGCATCAAAAAGGAAAGTGGTTCTGAACTCCAGGGACTTTATTTCAGACAAAGCAGCAAAATCCCAGTACCAGGAAGTCCTTAAAAACATCACAGAGTTAATATTAAAAAAAAAAAAAAAAAAAGAGAGGGGATGTTACTCTGATTATATGACTACATACACTCACAACAAACAATCAAAAAGTTTGTACAGCGAGCAGAGAACCAGACCCTGCAGATTTTCCATTTTACAGATAATATGCAGTAAGAATAAATGAAAGCATAGTTGGGCTTGCTCCACCGTTTACATCTTTGAAACACACTTAGAGGGAAGGGCACTGGTGCACAAGAGTAACCAGGGACACTGGATTCTTTTGGATAGCAATCTAATGCCCATGAGCACTAGAAGTAGAATACACATGGACAATCATTCAAAGATCATTCCTTAGCCATGTGAAGAGCTACCCACCCATCTACAATAAAGTTATATCATTTTCAAACGTATTTCAGAAAAAGCTTGGTAGTTTGTCCTAAACCAAATAAGTTAAGATAAAAAAATTGTTTTAAAAATGTTGTATAAATTGGCAGCATTCTTTTACAATATTTTATACCTTTTATGTATGAATGTCAGCTTGGTATAACTTGCCCCTTCTCTGCTGCAGACTTTTTGGCACAAACAAGTTAATGGCTCATAAGGAATTGCTTCCTAAACTCAGATTGCTGAAAAAAATATATAGATGGATGTGTTACTTTATAACCCAAAGTATTTCCTCTCTGAAAAGATTCTAGGCAGGACTGAAGGTGTCTCAGATAACTTCTTTCCTACTATATAGTCCTATAATCAGACAACCATGAAAACTACTAAAACTTGAGAGTAGATTTAGCAGGATGCACTCATATCCAAGTTTCAGATGCAGGAAGTCTTTGGTTCAGACTTACATGGAACACTGAACACAAAGAGGATCTTAAAAGTTAGCAATTAGATACTGGAAGTCAGTCACAGAAAAAAAAAAACCAACTGCTTTACTAATAATCAGCAAGAACTTAAAAGTCCTCCCTTACCTTCCGTACTTAAACCAGGACTTGAGGTGAATTTTGCTACATCGACAATCTTGACAGCAAATTGTTGCCCAGTTTCTCTGTTGATACATCGTCGCACAACACTGAATGGACCCCTAAAAACAAACAGATTTTCTTACATTAGAAGAATTCCAAACTATTCTGTTTAGCTGTACAGTCCCACTATTTCCTAACGTATGTAAAGTGTGTGTCTCAACCATACAGCATAATTGCTAAGTTTAATGTACATATATTAAACATGTTTTTCATTTTTTAAAAGTGCGTAATCTATTTCAGTTTTCTTGTAAAAGATACAATAGAATGCATATATAATTGTCATACTATTGCTAAAATTTAACAATAATGTACTTTATTATACAAGATACAGCAGGAAAAGCACTGCAAAATATCTTTATATTTTCATTACACAGATTTACTATTACCACATTTAATTCCAGAAAATGTTGTTGTTATATATTCCAGTAAGTTCAAATCCTTAAGTCTGTACTAATTCTACTGATTTTAGTGAGAATTTGCCTGAGTAAGAAAAAAAGCGAGTAAACTGTAACTGGGGATTCCAGGATATGACTGATAAGTACTGTTTAATATAAAAAGAATTGAAAAAATGCATTCAATTATATTATTTTGAAATGCCTCTGAAGAAACCACTTAGAAAGTATAGTTCAAAGTAATCTAGCCAACCAAAACGTAAATTACTCTTTCCAATTACACCACAAGCCAATGCATTTTAGGGATGTAAAGGGGTAACTGGTTAACTGGCAGCCCCAGCTATGACAGAACAGCCCCCAACCCAGGGCCCAGCCTGGTGGGAGCAGCCACTGACTCATGGGATCCTGGTTAACTGGCTTACACCCCCAGTGCATTTTAAACCAATACAGGAGACATGGGACATTTCCATTATAACTCTATATTTAAATCTTCAGGATAATAAAATATATCTAAAGCTTTCTCTCACCCTTATTCCTTAAAAAGCCATCACAGAATCAAACAAGCAACACAGAATAAAAGATTTATCTATTTTATATACCGGACAACGCTACATATGTTTAATCCTGCAAAAACTGTTTATAGTTCAAAATAGCTGTATGTGCCTTATTTTTTTCAAAAATGTAAGTCCACAATCATAGAATCCCTAAGAAATGACACAATATACAGATGACAGACAAGGTGGGTGAGATAATATCTTTGATTGGAGCAACTTCTGTTGGTGAGATACATAACCGTTTCAGCTACACAGAGCTGTGTGTGGTTTGAAAACTTGTTTCTCTCACCAACAGAAGTTGCTTCAATATGTTACTATGACACCTATTTGTGTGTAACATTATCCAACTAAAATGACTATAACTACATTGCATACAGTAAAATAAGGAGTATAATAACCTTGATTCTACAGATTTCTTTGAAAATTGATCCTTAATTAAGGATGTTAAGGACTAGTTGATCTCCTTCTCCCCCTTCCTCACCTCACCCCCACATGCTGCCTCTATCAGGTACTTCAAAGAGGCAGCACTGCATGGAGCTGACCCCGGGCTCCCTGTGGCATTTCTGCAGAATCTGGAGTCAGCTGGGGAGTCCCTAGCTGATCCCAGGCTCCGTGCAGTACTGCCGCTTTGAAATGCCAAGCGGAGCCCAGAATCAGCTGGGCACTTCAGCTGATCCCGAGCTCCAGAGTTCACCAGCTGACCCCAGGTTTTGCAGAAATGCTGTAAAGAGTCCGGGGTCAGCTGGTGGCATTTCAAAGCGGCAGCACAGCACTTATTCCCCAGCTGACCTCAGGCTCCATGAGGGTGTTTCTGCTTTGAAATGCACAAGAGACCTGATGGGGACTCCTGTACATTTCAAAGCTGGCATGCCGCGTGCAGCCCGGGACTAGCGGGAATTCCCACTGACTCAGGGCTTCACGCATGTGCTTTCGCTTTGAAATGCACAAGAGCTCCCGGGGTTTTTTGGGAGGAAGTCATCTGTTAATATCAGGATTTAGCTTCAGCATTCTAGGAACTAACATACTATGCAAGGAAACTTTAATTTGTAAGTAATATTTTCATATAAACTCCATCCCACAATGCTTTAATCTTACTATATATTTTAGAAGTGTATGTCTGTCCATCTGTAAGTCCATTTTTTCAATAACTCCTCCTCAACGGTAAGAGCTAGTACCACCAAATTTAGTATGCAGCTTCCTCTTCTCTTAGCTTAAAGCAAGGAAAGGGTTTGACAGTGTCAGGACAATGAAATGTGCCTGGAATTCAACTGTTTTTCATAAAATGGAAAGGGAGAGGTCTGGCAGGAGGGACACTTATAGTGCACAATGGCCCCAGGGAGGCCGCAAAGGGATCAGAGATAGGGAACCAGGACATTTATGTTGCCATTGGGCTAGCAGGAGCCATGGGTGAAGAAAGGGACAGCTATCTACTATATATATATTCAGAGAGTTTGCCTGGTTGTGGGTCTGTGTGTTTTCCAGCCAGAGTACATGCACCCCTCCCACAGCTATGCCTGCTGGAGCTGTAGCAGCCATGTTGAGGTGCTTCTCACCTGGCCCAAAGCTGCTGCGGTTAAGGTTTGGAGTTTTCCTCTCTCCCCAGGGCAGCCAGCATACTGAACTTCCCAGCCCCAGCCTCATTCCAGAACAATGATTTACATGAAGAAAACCAAAACTTATTTGAAATTAAGGACCTGAACAATGCTGGGTAAATGTTCTAGTGTTAGATAAGCAGTATTAATGAGTAATTTTATTAATTAGGTAAGTTACTAGGTACAGACTAGGGATGTGAACTACTAGTCAACTAACTGACTATCTGATGAGCAAATGCTGATTGGTTAGTCAACATGCTAGTCAACTAGTCGCTTCCCCAACCCTTGCTGCCTCTTCAGAAAGAGGCAGCGGGAAGGCAGGCGGCGGGAAAGAGAAGGGGGCGCTTCAAAGCGAGAGCGCCTGGGCTTCACGCAGTGCTGCTGCTTTGCAACGCCACATGAAGCCCGTGGTCTGCCAATTTCAAACACCACCTGCAGCCCGAAGCCAGCTGGGGACTGGACTCCCAGCTGGCCCAGGGCTGCACGCAGCGTTTCAAAGCGTCAACGCATGGAGACTCCCCCTGCAGCATTTCAAAGTGGCAGCATCGCATGGAGCCCAAGGTCAGCTGGGAATTCTGAGTCTCCAGCTGACCCTGGGCTCCGTGTTGCGCTGCCACTTTGAAACACAGCGGGGAACACGGGGACAGCAAGGGACTGCTTGACTTCCCTGCTGGCCCTGTGCTACCTGCAGCACTTTTGCCTTTGAAGTGTAACAGCCCTAGGGGTTGTTGCTACACTTCAAAGGCTGAGGCTAATGACTAATTGAATAGTCGATGCAAATTGCATCATTATTTGATTAGCCAGTTAATCTAAATTTAACATCCCTAGTACTTATTCCCACAATATAAGAACTAGAATTCATGAAATGAAATGAATAGGCATCAGGTTTAATACAAACAAAAGGATGTTTTTCTTCACTCGGTGCACAGTCAACCTGTGGAACTCCTTGCTAGGGGATACAGTAAAGACTAGGACTTTAACAGGGTTCAAAAAAGAGCTAGATAAGATTCATGGAGGTTAGGTCCATCAATGGCTATTAGCCAGGACGTATAGGAATGGTGTACCTAGCCTCTGTTTCTCTGGAAGTGGGTGACAGGGGAGGGATCACATGAGCATTACCTGTTGTGTTCCCTCCCTTTGGGGCATCTGGTATTGGCCACTGTCAGCAGACAGGATACTGGGCTGGATGGAGCGTTGGTCTGAACCAGTATGCCATTTTTATGTTAATCTAATCAGTCAATTTCTTAGTCTATCTATTGAAATTAAACATCATGCTTTGGGGAATTATGAAAAGATCATTAGAAAAGTCAGAAAGTTTTCTACACATGGTATACTATTGCCCAGTTGTGCACATTATGTAGCTATGCCACTTTCATCTGAAGGCCTGTCAGACTAAAACCTTCAGTGTATTCCATCTTGTAGTTCAGATGAATTACATAATCCACAATTCCAACTGTTCAGTAAAAAGAAGTAATCCATGTCTATGTCGCCTTTCATTCTGACACAGAAGCCAGGTCTACACTGGTGGAGAAAAATCAATGCAAGATACTCAACTCTAGCTATGTAAACTGTGTGCTGGGGTCAATGTACCTTGCATTGATTTTTTTGGGGCAGTCCACAGCAGGAAGTAATTGGGAGAAACGTGACAGAAAGGAATACTGGCTCTGATGGGGATGCCCTCAGCATTCAATTTAACAGGACTTTCCTAGACCCTCTAAATCAAACCCCGAAAGACTGATTCTCCAGTAAGTGGAGACGTGGCCTGAGATTGCCCCTCTTCCTTCTCACATACACAACCTTATCTTTCCCTCAGCTTGACTTGGGCTCAGACCCTCCATTCCCCCAGGTTCCTAGGATTGAGGGAAAGAAATGTGTGCGCAGAAGAAATGGGCTCAAGCCTGGGTCTGAGCCCAACCTTTATACTGCTGAGTAGATCTACCTTTTGTTGGCATTCACTGAACCTTCCAAAATGAGATCAGTACGAAATAGTGTGCAAGTGTGTAAATTTAAATTATGAATGTTTTTTAAATTTTTCAAAA